TATACTATTTATTCCTGTATATAATTATAAATATAAAACATATAAAATATACACAAGTCACATATCACTTAATGAGAAATATACTATTCATACAAATTACCATTATCTATCAATCCAGAATACATGTTCAAATTAATAATATATTAATGTTATAAATTCTAATAAGTATGAAGTCTATATATATAATAATTGTAATAAATAATTATAAACTGAACACATAAATATTATACACTAATATTATAACAAATGGATAGAAACAAAACAGTAATAAATAATAAAGAATCAAAAAATCATAAGGAAAAAATTATTATAGCTAAAAGCTAAACCCTAAACATCTAAATACCTAAAACCTAAACTTAACCTATATTTATCTTACAATTCTGAAAAAAATTACATATAGTAATGTTATTATTACAAATAAATAAGTATTTCTAATAATTTTGTAATTGTTCTGATCACAAAATATAGCAAGAAACAATTATATTCTGAATTCAGGATATGATATTTTAAATAAAAAATATATCATTTTTAGTATTCCAAAATAATTCATGTTTGAAAAAAACAAACATCATAATTATTATTAAATATTTTGAATTCAAAAATAATTGTTCAGTGAAACTAAGTACAGTAATAATTATTAAATTTTATATATGCCTAGTTCTGAAATAATAATTTTTTCTAAAAAAATAATATTTTCATATATATAAGATGTATGTTAAATAGTATTGTTATTACTTACATGGTAGATCAATATTATATATTAAATTTGTTATGGATTTTTTATTTTAATGAATATTCACGAAGAAGTATTATATTTATAATATAAATAAATTGTTCCCTATATCATACGTCAATATCGTACTAATATTTTGAAAACATTATTCATTTTTATTTACACAATGGAATATATATTATAAGAATTAGTTTATTTTTACATTAAGTATATATATTATAATATTTTAAGGATACAAAATTTCAATTGAATTTGTGTTCGCTGAAAAAATATGCATATTCCTAAAATCATAATAGACAGGTTAGTCGTAATAAAATCTCAAATAATTTGTTCTTAATTATATTTTTAATAAAATATAAGATTTATCGTATACATTATTATTTTTATTATTTATATATAATATTTGATATATTAAATTAAAAAACAATATGAATCTAAGGATTAAATGCACATGACAAATACTTCCAATAAAACAATTGTATAAAAATATATGGAAATAACTTTTTCTTTTGCTCTTCTAAAAGATCATTTATAACATGATTCATTACTATTATATAAGTAAAAAAATATAAATATAAGTATTTCTAATGTCAAGTTGTGTTGCATTTTTAACTCATTTTAGGGGATATATAAATTATATTATTTTTATATATTATTAAAGTAATTTAGATATAGCTCATGTAAAATACAGTAATTCATTCTAATCATATTCTATAAATTTTCATATATGAATAGCATTAATGTTTCGAAACTGATCTATGAACATCTTTTTGTTTTATATATATGTTTATTTTTGATAAATAATGAATACCCCTACAAAATTTGCAAAAATTATAAAAAAAAATCCCATAGAAGCATGTAAATAAATAGTATATATTAGCATTGTTTTATTTATATTTTATTACTATTATAAAAATATATATTTTATATATATAACATTATATTTAACCTTAAATTTACAATGCCTTATCATTTATGTTCATTCTAATAAATATATTTATACATTTTTTCTTTCGTTGATATAATTCAAAAATATTATTATAAGTCATAAATAAATGTATACTTTTACACCCTAATAAATTATTTTTTATTGGAATCAACCTTATTTATACATTGTTCCTATTTTTAATAAGAAAGAAGCCTATATATCATCGTACTATATATCCTTATTATTATGAATTGATATTTTATGTTTATAATATTAATCACATTATTACCTTCAATTGAAAAATAAATGTAACATAATTTGAAATGGGAATAATAGATGTACATTTTAATCATTATAATTCTAATTAAATTATTATTATTTATATGTGTTTTATTTTATATAATTCTTATAATAATGTGTTTTCTGTTATATAATACATACCCTACTACGATTTTTATTTTTACTTTAGTATAATTTAATGCGCTATTTTTCTATATGTAATGAAATGATAGATAAGCATAAAGATGATGGAGAAGATTTATGGGGAAATGACTGTAATGCCACTTTTAATAATTCATCTAGTGTTTATTCCATAAATAGAAAAATATGTCAACAAGCTTTGTTATATCTAGCTGATATACATAATATTAATGATATGTATTTAGGGGAATATGGCTGCAAATACCTGTATTATTGGATATCACCCAATCTTAATAAATGGAAAAATGACATTGACGATATCAAAAGTGTTTATATTAAACTTCTCAATTTATATGGTAATAAATTCTTGAAGGGATTAAATCACAAGTGTTATAAATATAAGGATGATATTACAGAAGATGATTTGCAAGTACTGAAAGCCATGTATGATATACGTACGTATGCTTCCAATAATAAAAAAATAGGATATGATAACGTGTATAATGGAAATGATTTTTCTGTGGCAGTAAATATAATAAAAAATCATTATGAATTACCAGTAAAAACAGAAATACGAGAAGTAGTAAAAGATCAATTAATACCGTGTAATAAAACTAACATTGGAGTACCCATTATAATCACAGTTATTGTAATGCTGATAACATCCATATTTTTATTCATGTTGTATAAGGTATGTAATTATATTATTTAATTGAATTAATAATATAATGTCTTATAATTTTTTTAAATAATTTAAAAAATAAATTTCGTAAAAAAATGTAATTTCTAATATATATATATATATACATACTTATTAGTACACAACATTAGGTTCATATTTGCGCCTCAGAGTAAAAAATATAAAACGTAACATGAATAATGACAATGAAGAATGGAATAAGAGACAATCTACAGAAATATCACGTAATATTTTGAGTGATAGCAGATACAATATATTTTATAATTTTGATTAATTTTACCATTAAGAATATAGTTAAGATAAAACATTTTAATAAATGATGTAAGATAATTATGCTCATAAGCTAATCTAAATATATATATATATATATAAAATTTACAGTAATTTTATATAAATAACGTGAGAATTAAAATTAATTCGTAGTTCAACGAGAAAATATTCAAAAATAAATAATATAATAATCATAAAAATATTATCCCCTATGTATATATGTATTAAATATAAATCTTACTATTAATATTCTTTATTGTCCGCTTTTTATTATAAAGTACATAGCATCAATGGAATTCTTATGGAGTGCAATGAGATATATATAAAATTAAAAATTATTATACATGATAATATATTTATATATACCCCAAAAAATTATTACAAAAATAATTGAAGATATATAATATTTAATACATGTATATATATAATTTGATATTACTATACAATTCTATTAAATATTACATATTACATTATGAAATACAGATACTAATAATTAATTCTAAATTATATATTTTTGTTTATAATTCATATGATATAGGTTTAATTACAAAGAATAATATGTATTTTGTCATCTGAAGTATTCATTTGTGATATTTTGTTCTGTACAATTGTGTTAGTGAACAATAATACAAAAATTACATTTTATTGTTTATAGAACACAACTTTTTCTGTATAAAATATAAATATTTAATTAAAATATTTATATTTATTTATTTAGTAAAGCACATTTAACTTAAATAGTATTGTTCAATATTTTTCTGTTAATATTAGGACAAAAAAAATATACATTTACACATTTCCCCATTACAATGTGAGTCATATTTGTACTATTATGAATATAATAATAATCGAATTTTTTAAAATATAAATGTATCATTAAATATTTATTTCCCTAAAATTATATTTTACTTTATATATATTTATACATAAAAAATATTATATTCCTATATTTTATATTAAATGTAAATATTGTTTATTTCTATATACTTATGAATAAAAATAAATAAATTTTTACGTTGAATAAAAGATAGTAATACGATTCATAAGTTAATATACTAACGATCCATAAAACGAATAATCAATAGCTGAACTTAACATTTTTTATGGAAATATATACTTAATAAGAGGATTACATTTTACATAAAAATAATAACATATAAAAAAATAAATTTCATATAAAAAGATTTTATATTTCACAAATGAATATTTAGCCTTATATATTCTACACAATTACATTGATAATCAAATAATCTTATTCTTTAACTCATATAAACTGTTATACATAATGAATCTTCCTTTTAAAAATTAAATTCCTATAATTATATAATATTAATATTTCTAAAACGTAAAAAAAAGAACAAACAATGAATAGTCCATTAACTGTGTTCTACAGAAAATAAAAGTTCATATATTAAAATTATATAAATAATACCTTTATATTTAAATTTATTTCTCACAAACATTGTGTAAAATAATATATAATTTAGACAATAACTATTCTACACATATATTTGCATCTCTTTTATATTATTTTATATTTTTCCTATGTTCACTTTTTACTTATGTGTGTTTTGAATCAAATAATTGCCAAATATCTATATTATGTATAATGTAACAACTTTTTTATTATATAAATATATAGTTTTGTTTATTTTTTAATTCTTTAAACATGCATCATTCAATTTATTAAACTTGTTACAAATTTTTTATTAAAAATGCGTACATAATTTTTTGGGGTATTACAATTATTATCACAATTTATGTATTATTTAGGAAGAACTTTATTCTATATTATATAAGCTGTAAAATATACTCGATAATAATGAGTCTGTTATGTTTCTGCATAAGTATTTTTGTAAAAATTTGTTTCTCCACATTTATTTTCCATCATTTTTCCAAAAAGGATGAGCTAATAATCTATGATTGTAATAATAGATATATTGAATATATATACTCAATAGTAACTATAACAATTTTAGTTAATTATTAAATATGCATTACTTTATTAATATTTCAATATATTACGTTTTTTTTACCTTGTGTAACATTATATTTACAGTTACAATTCCAGAAATAATTAAAAATTCAAGGAAAAATATTTTTACTGAAAATGTACTACTTCCAGTTTATGTGTATTTATAGTGTGTATTCCCTATATTATTATTTTCATGGGACTTATTATTTTCTAATAAATTTTTAGTTAAGGAGACTATGTCCTCATTTTGTGACATTGTGTTTTCAAAAGAAATTGAAATATTATTATAATATTTTATAATAGAATAACTGGAATTAATAAAATTATATTTCATAAGTATTTATATCAAGTAGCTATATAATTCCCATCATTAGTAATAATTTGTTTTCTACTGTTAATACTAGATAATGTATTATTAACCTTATTCTCCATTTTTTATTGAGATAATCATCATACGTATGCATATTCATAGATTCTTTTAACTTATTTTCCTAATAATTTTTTCATAAATAAAATAATTTAACTATTTTAATAAACGGTTTTGATATGTAAAATACGTTTCTGTTTTTACTTGTCATTTAAAATCATATCAGTTAATTTAATTGATCCAATTTTCTTCAATCAATATAATCAAATTATTCTATATTTTTCTTTAAATTTTTATTATTTAATAGATTGAAGTAAAAAATCAAAATAATATTCAGAGTTATGCGACATTTCTGATATTTATTTTCTCCAGAAACGCTTGTTTCAGTTTGATTATAAGTGACTCAAGAATTTGTGCTAAATATATAAATTAATACTTCAACATCATCATATATAGTAGAAATATGTTTAATGTGACATTCTAGTTAATATATATCCACTACTAAGTGAAATGTATTCAGAAACATATTTGAAGGAAAGTTATCATCTTTGAAATTCCAGTGGTTAAAAGGGACGTATCAATGATAATAGATATAAAAGGTTAATATAATAAAAAAACATTAATTAAAATGTTTCGAAAAATTAACATATAAAGCATAAATAATATATTTTTAATGAGTATTACTGATAAAATATCATACATTTAATTTTTTTTCCAGTATATACTCAATCCTTTATTTATACAATCAAATATATGGAGCTTATAGAATATACTGAACAAAGAAAATAGTAACATCAACAACACAATGAATGCATCCAAAGTGGAATATAAAAATATAGAACATAATCACTATAAAATTGCTTACATATAAGTATAATAATCCTAATTATCATATAATATTGCTACTGAACAAAAAAACTTTATATCAAATAAAACAAACTTGTAAGATATCCATTATATTATGGATGTAAAATGAATGCTTATACGAACCACCTCGTGTAAGTATTATTATAAAATTGTTAAGAATATTCCTAAGTAGTATGTATTATTATGTAATTAATAAAATATTTACTATGAATAACACATAGAAAGAAATGAATAATTAGAGGATTTATCCAGAAAGACCAGAAATATAATAATCTATGTGCATGTTTATAGAATAATTGGGTAAAAATGTTATATATTTCTAAATTCAGTTGATGAGAATATATACATTATTAGTATCCAGAAAAAATCTCTTTTTAAAAAGAGTAAATTTATATTATATCTACTTAAACAGAATATTATATATAAAATAAAATTAAAAATATTAAATATATAAATAAATGATCTTATAGTAATTAATATGATATAACTACTAGAATAAATGAAAAAAATCAATAAATATTGTTAATCTGTATAATTATTATTTGTATATATTATATTACCTAATGAATAAAATAAATATTCAATAATTGTATACTGTTTTCACAATGTAATTTGAACTTAAACAAACAGTGCTAACTAAAATAAAGGAGAAATATACGCGTATTAACATAATTATATCGGAAAAATGTATATAAATAAGTGGAACTTAAAAACACTTATAAAAAATAAAGCGCAAAAAATATATGTCATGTTCCTCATATGACAAAAAGAATAAATAAAATCAGGCAAAAAATATGATTACATCATTGTATCAACAAACAAAAAATATATATTATCAAATGTATTTTTTTAAAATTATTTATTCACCAAAATAAATATGAATATACACTATATTTGTTTCATTTATAGCATAATATACATCCATTCCGTCTATGTATATAACTGTCTTAGCAGTATATAAATAATGCTACCTATAACACTTGTATTCTCATATATTTCATAAATGTTCCTATAAAAAATTAACACGTATTATAAACCATATATATCAAGGAATATTTATACCTATACATTTGATTTAATAGAAGGATTTTACTTATATATAAACT